ACAACTGTTTTCTGCTTTCAGATGAACGATAAGAAGCTCCTGCTCCCCATCCCTGCAGCCCAGGAGGCCAAGGCGCCGCGCCAGAGCGTGAGTATTCCCGGAGATTCCTAACGGAGCAGGACCCCTCCTGCGGTCAGCAGCCGGGCGGGCCCCCAGGAGCTTTTAAGCCTGGATTTATTTTGCACCCAATGCATCCTAGCGCCTGTTCCGACGCTCCGTGCGGAGCAGCAGCCCGCTCGCTCCGGGGACGCGCAGCGCATGCACAGTGCCTGCTCACGGGTTCCCTGTCTTCTGTTCTGCCTTTGCAGCCTGCCATGAGGCCCAAGGGGCCCCCGCCTCCCGTCCCATCCACCAAACCAGCCTCTGCTCCCGCTGGAGAGAGCTTTGTAAGTACAGCCCGGCCCAGCGCTCGCGCTGCGCATCAGCAGCGGATGCTCGTTCATACTTTCAGTTTCTGACCATATGCAAAGAAATCACAGACTTTCCGACCACGCGCTGTCCAGGGCAGGAGCCATCCTTCTGGCCATGCAATCCTCAACCACACAAAGTCTTTTTAACCTGTGCTGGTTACTCAATATGGATCAATGAATACACTGGTCACAGCTCAGGGCTCCTCCAAAACAGCAGATCTACATCCCTTGTCTATTTATACTCTTGCACCTCTCTGGACACAGACAGATTAACATAATTCAGCCCTTAGGAAAATGCTGTGGTAAATATGAGTTCATAGTAGCAGCAGCTGAGGTCTGAGGAAGATCTGCAGCTGCTTAGGCAGGAACGTGTCCACCATTTAAATGCTATTTTCATTATAGGCACCAGAAAGAAAATCTGCTCCCTTCCCAGTTCCCAAAGGCAAACCTCCACCTCCTCCAAAGGTAACTCGAGTTAGAACGTGAACAGCAGTTCTGTGGGGGTGTCATTTGCTTGAAGGGCACCAGGCACAGTGATTTGCCCAATTCTTTCTTTTTTATTTAGGCTTTAAAACCTCCTGCTAATCCCCGAGTGTGAAGCATCTCAAACAGGACTTATCAAGAAGCCAAAATTTTCAGGGACAGTTCATTTGTCCTGCGATTCCTCCATTTCTGGCAAAGGCAACTGAAATAGTCTTCCTGTTTTCTATTAGAAAAAGAACAAGTGACTGACAGCTGCTTTGAGCAAAAAAGTTTGTTTTTCAGACAGTGAGGAACTCTTTGGCCATGACATGAAGCTGCTGCCCAAAGAGAAACCAAGCAAAACACCTTCTTGCACTGAGGTGTAGCCTGGGAGCAAGTTACAAAAGCTGTTTACGTACCCCGACCGTGACACCGGCGCATCCGCACGGAGCAGCGGGACCAGCCCTGCTCGCACCCTGCAAAGCTGGTGCTGGGGTCCCGGGCCTTGGCCAGCCCCATCTCAGCAGCACCCAGACTTGTGCGTCGTGCACAAGCTGCAAGCTCCGTGGAAAGAAAAATTCCTGCTCTTTGGAGGAAAGGTTGTCATCCTGGAGGCTGTAACCAGGTTGCAGAGGGGGGAACGCTTTGATTCAGGAAAGATCCCTTTGGATCCTGTTTTCTCGTTAATCCCTGCATCTCCTGCTAAACAAGGCTGCTGTTCCGAGGAGGCAGCCCTGGAGATGAGCTCGCGAACGGAGCAGTGGGAATGGGGCAGCTTGGGGCTCCCAAGGGCTCCCAGCTCCAGCTCGCCCATCAGGAAAGGACTCCAGCACCATCACTTCCCTTGGAGAGCAGCACTGACAAAAAGGACAGCCAACAACGTCCTTAATCATTTATTTGCCCCTCAGCTCCAGAAATATCTTCACAGCTCTCCCTTCCAGGATACACAGCCCTCGGTGTTTCGTTTACCTGCCCTCACAGCAGGAGCGTTACGCGCTGGGCACAGGGCCGCTGTTATTGCGGGACGGGGCCTTGCCGGCGCGCTCGGCCTGCTGGCAGCGGCTGCGCCGCGCTCCCGGCCTCGGCATTAACGACCCTGGCACCGACGCGCCTGTTACCGTTGGCACCGACGCTATTCATGTGGTTGGCATCAACGTTTTTAAGTAAAAGCACACGGAAGTATTTTTCAAGGAATAAACTTTACCAGGAAAAGAGAGAAATAAAATTGCCCTGGACACAAAGTACTCAAGATTTTATGGAGGTTCCAGTTTGAGCTGGATTTGGATCGAGCTTCCAGTTTTCCAAATCGATGACTCGGTGGCTCAGGAAGGCAGGTTTCCAGCCCTGGGGCAAAGTGGCCTCGTTCTGGAGCCATCGAAAGAGAACCTGAGGCCTCCGGTCACATCGGGAAGAGCGGCTTTAACCTGGGCTCGGTCCTGACCCGTGCCAGACAGGCCTTTAAAACAAGCCCGATCCTGTGCGGGCACAAACCAGCTCGCACATGCCGGGACCGCGCCCCGCCTGGCGCTGCCCGACGCTCCGCACGTGCCCGCATGTCCGGGAGCGCCGGGTTCTGTGCGCTCTGCAGAGCTCGCGTCAACACAAACGCACGCGAAAAACCCAACTTCTTGCTTTGAAGTTGCCAATCAAGCACTGTCTGTCACAGAACACACATGTGATTGAGCTACAACCATCAGTTTGAGCAGCGAGGTGGGTTTTTTTTAGGGTAGAGTTTACTGGAAGAGCATTGCTTTCTTCCACTTCGAGTACTTGCTTCTTTTTTATTCAGAAATGGATTTTAACCTATCCATACATGACTATGGTATAAAGATTGCAACTTATTTTTATGAACTGTGATTAATGTATATACCAAGATTTCTGTATTAAAAGTGTTCTGACTTAAGTGAATATGGCTGTTAAGGGTTTCTTTTTAGGATTATAATTTGTACACAAAACGCATGAAAATGGGATAAACTGCGATCATTTATAACATTACCCCATCCTCCCAACCCTTGGTTTCTATCAAGCACATTAGTCAATAGCATCACATAACCCTGTCAAAGTTACCTGCATCCTACACAGAGGAAAACCTATTCTGTTAAGGGAACGAACACCACTTCCGCCTCAATCCACAGCCACCTTCTCCAACCTTTCCTAGGGTGGGAGCATTTGCACGTGCTCCAAGGACACACAGAACTGAAGCAGCTTGACACCTGTTGACCAGAGCCTTGATTTTTCTTGGTGGCTTCTAAGGCCTTCAGTTCCCAAACCATGGAGCAGAGGCAGCCTTTTCCTGCAGAAACCAATGCTCCCTTCACCCGTTTGCATCCCTACACTTCCAATAAGCAGAGCCTGCACTCAGCAAGTGCTGTACCGAGGCAGCAGCTCCTGCCAGAAGCAGGTGGCATGAAGTAGGTACCAAAGGAAAGCATGAAGCCATGCACACCCATAGGGGTGCATGATTTACAGGTGCCCTCCTGGCTTCAGTGTCCCTGCGACAGGATGGGGACAGTATCCGTGACCCCAGCCAGGCCTCACAGACGGACCCGTCCGCGCACATGGCCTGTTCTTGGGTTGTGCAAATGTGACATCTACCGTCACAACGTCCTTACTGCAAGAGGGAGGGAGAACTCCAACACGCTCAGGACTTGGAGCAGGAGCAGCCCGTGGTTCCCGGCCTCAGGCTTCTCCCTAGGGAGCCTTTCCCTGTGTGGGAAGGTCACTGTCCCCGGTCGCTGTCCCGGCACCACAGCAGGGTCCAGCGCTCGCCGCCGGGGTCTCTGCTGATGGCGGCGAGCGGCAACGCACAGGGCCCTTCTCCCGCAACGCGGCCCCCGCGGGGCCTCCTCTCCCTCCGCATCCCTCACGTCTAGGGAAGACGAAACGTCTCTCCGCGGGTCGGGCTGCCCTCCCGCTCGAGCGATCCGTCCCCACGAGCGCACAAACCTCCTGCTTTGATACCCGCAGTGTCCATTAGATGGCAATGAGGCCCAGGAATCTCTCCTGCGCTATCCAGCAGCTCCCGGTCTCTCCAACGAGGCCCACCCGCCGCCCTTGGGCCATGGATCCGGGGACACCAGCAAGGGCACGGGCAGCCGGGGGGAGGCCGGAGCGCGTCCGCAGACACGGAGGCACCAGACAACTAATAAAGAGGCTGAACCCGACCCTCCGAACGCGACGCTCCAGGCGGCCCCAGGAAGGCCTCATCGCGTCAGGTTTTATCGACCAGAGATCAAAACAGGGCCCTGCCCTGCACTCAGCCCCTACCAAAGGGAGGAAGGAAATGTCACTTATAACTGGAGATGAGATTAAGGGATTTGCTCCCTCCCCGTCTCCTTGGGTTTCTCATCTCAGTAGAGCTTTCATAGCCGCACACTACTGCATTAATCACTATAGTCTTAAATAAGCAAACAAAAGACTACTGACCCCAGTGATGTGTAAACTTGTATGAATTCATGAAAATATTAAAGATTTCCTAACTGACAAACCTCAGGAACTCAGACCCCACTGCATGGAGAGTTCCTGACATCAGGCCCATAAATAACCTGCATAATGCACGGCCCCAGCCCCATGCAGGGGCACAAACGAAGGGCAGGTATCCCCCCTTCAGCCCCACAAGGGCTGGGAAGACAACAGGCTCTTCCCACAGTTCCAGTACAGGCAGGGATAGAGCTTGTGTGGATTTACTCTGTGCTGCAGATACCACAAAGAAGTTTCTCTTGCATCATTTAATGCATGGAGAGAAGAATTAGCTCTTCTGCCACACACCAAAGCTACTTTTGTGTCCTTAAGTGCACTAAAATAATGTATTTTCCATGTCACACTCTGCAGCTGTCACAGAGAGGCATGTCCCTGAATCCATTACTGGGTACTTCCCACAAAAGCTGCAATGAATTGCTAGGCATGTTTTATAGATTAGCTGATCCTAAAATCTCTGCTACGCAGGCCTGTTTCGTGATCAGGCTTCAAAACAATAGAAAACCCATGAGATCACTGAA